AGGTAAAGCCATTCACTCGTTATATGGAATTGAATGGTTCTGTTTAAGTCAATCCAAAATGTTTCTGTAACTACCTACTGTGTGCCACCAGGCCTTCACATCTTCCTTAGCAGTAAAGACTACATTTTTCTAGTTAAAATAATTTGGTAATTCTGAAATTTTCCTTCAAACACCAGATCACTGATAAGTTGCTTTATTATGACCATCCTCCAGATATACTGACTGCAAAATGACTCAATTTGAGTTCATAATTAAACATATCCTCTCATCAAACTGGTTACCCCATTCCTTTCTCTTCTGGTATGGAGATCCAGGCTGGGAGAGCTGAATACCAACAACTACATTAACACGGTTCACAATTTCCTGCAGCAGCAATAGCAATAACAACAAAAAAGTCAGAGAGAAGTGAAGGTAACAATTTAATGCACCTTAATAAAATCCATGTATACTCTGGGGACATAATTTTTGAGGTAAAAAGAAATAGGTAAATGCAAGCCCTTTGGTGATCTCTTCATGAAAGAGAGTTATTTCTCCCACCCATCCTATTAAAAATTAGTTTTAACCACATATGTCCTCTACTGGGCGTTTCTGCCATTACCCTTTGTCAAGAAAGATATTAGCTAAATACCTACCATAAAAATGACACCTTTAAGAAATGTAAACCTATTTTTCATAGAGTAGACTGACCCCATTTATTAGCCCTAAATTTAGAGAATGCCAATGCTATAGGACCTTATGAGTACTCTGTAAAGAATATGAAAAGCCCATACTTGTCCAATCAGCTACAGTCCTTAAAATTAGACGCTGTGCATTTTGATATGTTCTAATGCAACCAGGTCCTAGATAGAATCTCAGAGTCCTCTTTGCTATTTCTCTAGCCAAGGTTGATGGTTGGGCTTGCCCAGTATAAATGAGTATTACCTAGAAACATAGCCTGTGCTGCAGCTTCTAAAAATGTATACTACTGGAAAACAAGAGGTTTGTTTCAATATGTGCCCAGAACAGATTAAAAACAAAATAAAACAACAAAAACAAAAAAACTACGAAGTGTTTTACTATTTTCTTTGGTCAACAAGGACAGAACAATAAACTTCCATCCCTTGGGACTTTGTCTTGTGCATAAGGGAGGCCCTTGGCATCAACAGTTGTAGGGATCTTAGCAAAAGGGAACCCCGTCTACATTGAAATGAACAGAAATCATTGTAATTGGATTCACATCTGACACCAAACAATTATAAATGTAAATAAGTAAAGGACACATTCTTCATTTTTCAACTTGGAGGAAGGAAAGAAAGGAATAAAAGTAAAAGTTCTGAGTTTCATTGGTGATTCCAAGAATAACTATGCAAGCTTAAATTCACATCTCTTTAATTGGCAAAGGCCAAAGGACCTCAAAGATTGCATACAACAAAATTTTGTACAAAAAATTTGCCAAAGTGATTTTTAATATTCTCCATAAGGCTAAATCAAATAGGACTGTCATGATAACAGGGCAAGTAATCTGTTTTCTGCATAAAATTATATTAAGAGAAGTATAAGATCTGGGAAGGGGGTAATGATGAGAGTGGCTAAATAGAAGAAAAGAGTAAAAAGAACCTCAAGGTACTCCCATGTTTGTCAGCTATGGGCAACTTAGGATGTTTTTTATTCATCCCATGCTTGGTTTTGTCTGTATTTTGAAATAAAAAACAAACACCACACACAGAGACATGCACAAAACAACATCATGTTATTAGTCTTCTATGCCTACTCCATATACATCATAAACAAAAAAAAAAAAAAAAAAGGAAAGCTTCTTATAAGAAAAAAGACCAACTACACTCAAATCATCTCCATTTCTCAGACCTATAGGAAAAGTTTTGTTCCAATATTACAATTGCTATTTCCCTAATAGGTGGATGGGAGAGGGGAGACTGAAATCATTCAAACACATTCACTCTCAGGGGAATATTTATTTGGGTAATATATTTTCAATAAAACTCATTGCAGATATGGCACTACTTGGCCACACTAAGAAGACAAAGCTAAGAACCCTTAGAAAGCCACAAACAGCCCCATACTTGAAAACTAAAGAATAAAAAGACAAAGCATTAAAAAGTTGATCTTTTTACTTCCTCTGTGTATATACATTTTTTGGTTTTTTGTTTTTATTTATTGGTTTTAGAGAGAGAGAGGAAGGGAGAGGGAGAGATAGAAACATCAGAGAGAGAACATTGATTAGCTATCGCCTGCATGCCCCCCACTGGGGATTTGGCCCACAACCTGGGTATATGCTCTGACTTGGAATCAAACTGACGACCTCTTGGTGCATGGGTTGACACTTCACTGAGCCACACTGGTCGGGCCTTTTTTTTATTATTTTTTTTAACAGCCTCTTTCCTCATTAATAATATGCGAACCAAGAAAACAAAACAGAATACCTTGGTAGCAACTTGTTTTCATTTATTCAGTTTGGATTTTACTGTAATTAACCTACCATAATATAGATAGCTTTTAAAACTCTCAATTCATTTTGGGTTTTTTTCCGACTCTGATACAGACATTATGATGCAACTAAGTGAGAAAAATGTTGTCTGGCCCAACAGATTACATTTGTTAGTAAGTAATAATATCCCCAAGTATTTTATTTTTTCTTAAGGTTTCAGTAAAATTTTATTTGACCTAGAATAAAACCGTCTAGAAGTGACTTTGACATTTAAAATCCACTTCATTTAAGCAAGGCAGATGACCAATTTCAAGCATCACAATTATTTACCATAAATACTTTTTGGTTACTGGGCTGCAGGTTTGATCCCCAGCCTTGGTCAGGGTCATGCAGGAGGCAATCAATTAATGTGTCTCTCACATCAATGTTTCTCTCTCTCTCTCTGCCCCTCCCTCCCACGCTCCCCCCTCTCTTTTCCCCCCTCCCTCACTTCCACTCTTTCTAAAGAAAAAATCAATGGAAAAATATCCTCAGGTGAGTATTAAAAAAAGAAAAGAATTATTGTTTAAACTGTTTCTCATCTTTACAAGAAGAAAAAATAAGTTTAGAAGAGAAGAAAACAAAATTTTCATTTTTTAATAACATATTTTGATTCCTTAAAATACTAGAAATAATCTGCTGAAACTAAACTTCAACAAGGGGCAGGATTTACCTCAATACTATGTCCACCTGCAACCTGCAATCTCTATTAGGATACTTAAGTGACTGCACTGCAGCCACTATCCTGCATCTACCTCACTTTACCATAAGCAAATCACAGGAACTGTGCCTTCATAATCTCTGAATGCTCAGAACATGGAAACAACAGCAATCTGCTTTCAAAGAGCTCATATACCTGGACTTGAAAGGAACTTACAAGTTCTTTATAGCTGATTTCTGATTCAGATAGTGTTCTGGGTAAATATTTCCACAGGTTGTTACAGCACATATTCATAATGAGAGGTCAGATAACAAATAGTTAACTAAAGTCCTACAGGATGAGCACATATCTATGAACCCCCATTTCTGTGTAAAAGGTATGTAACAAGTAATCAAAGTTTCATCTTCACATTTTGTTATTCCACATATATTGCTGAATAGGAAATGACAGAAGTGATAGGACTCATCTTTATCCATACAGTATCTGACTACTAGAACACTGCTGTTATATTCTCCTTAAAGTGGTCGGAGATTGGCGGTGTCTGATCTCTTTCACAATTCCTATTTCTTTCCAGCAAGAATTTTATTTTAGCAATAATCATCAAACTGAACCAAGAATGGAAGTGAAAATGTGACTTCAAAACTAAGGCAAGGAAAGACAGCCACATAAAATATAGCAAGTTAGAAATAATACAGGTAAAATGTTACACACAAATATGGCTGAAAGAAAGTCGCAAAATATAATGTGTTAAATACATACAAATGTGTGTAAGGGGAGAAAAATCCAATATATTGGTATTTCTACATTTACCATTCCACAATCCTTTGGACTTTAGCTTTGCCCTATTTTATAACCTGTGACCCACTTTTGTGAAGACTTACTAATATACTATCAACTGAAAACCAATACTAATCTTTAGCTATTTCAATTAGCAATTATACTCACCACAGAAAACAAACATTAACTAAACTCCAAGCTCCAGTCAGCATTTACTGCTTAAAAAAATAATAGGCAGGTACTTTATTGCCTGGGTTTTGTACTTAATGAGAAAGTAAAGAGCATACACTTAATTCTAGGAAATAACTGAATTAGTAGCCAGCAGAAAGTCCCATCATAGTCTTTTGTTTCCATATTCATAATACATTCCTCAATGTCTTACTAGAATAATTACAGACAGAAAATCAATTCTTAAAATCTCATGCATGGTTTGTAATTATACCTTGAATACATAATAAAAAATAAAAGACACATATTCAATGTTATTAAACAATGATTAAGATTTAATTGGGATATCTCCTAGCTATAGCTATTCTCTTAATTTAATTATGGCTGCCTGCCACACCAACATGTTCTAGGAGCAGATATTTCTTCTCAAGAATTTCCTCTTCAGGCAATGAGCTAATACATCTGAACTTGGAGGCTTTAACCCTCTGACTGTTAGGAATTTTGTACAAATGTAAAGATGTGAGGAACTAAAGCTCACTGATATTTGTCAAAAGCTTTCATTTAATGCTGCACACTCAATTAGAAGGTAAAGGACATATATTTGTGTATGTTTCCTGTCTTTTCATTTGAAAATATTTGCTCTAGGTGTATATCCATTAGCAAATTTAACTAGCCCTAAGTAGGCCATTAACATTTCATTGTCCACTGAGAGTATACTGCCATTGAAGTTGAACAAAATTCCACTGGTTTCCCAACATTTTCTCAGTGGTAGACTAGAATCTCATTTTTATTTTGGCTACTTTGGAACACAGTTGGAATACAAATGCTTCTGTTTAAAGATATTCATAGTTAAAGCAAAGATGCTCTCTGGATATTCAAAAAAACACTCTTTTTGGCCAAAAAAAAGTTGTAAAAGTGCCAGCAACTTACCAGAGTTTCTCTTTGACACCACCTTCAAATTTGTGCTGACTACAGAACAGACCACAAGGGCCAAAAGAAATGCTGGCTTCATTGTTCTCTTTCCTTGGCAGCTGAAAAGTAAAAAAAAAAAAAAAAAAAAGGATATTAAGTTTGAATCACAGATTTTGGCCTCAACAAACAGCAACTATATTTTCACATATCTCAAAGACACATTACAGAAACAATGACATTCTGGTGACTTTTAGGTTATTTTTATGCAAATGGAAGAAAACATAAATGTTCAAAGTTGAATTATGTCAAAGCTCCATGTTTATAACTTTTCAATAGCTTCTCACTGTATTTAGAGTAATATCTAAACTCTTCATTAGACTTTCAAAGGCCTGCAGGAGTGGCTCCAGTAAAGCCTTGTTTGTTAGTTTGTTTTATCTTATTTCACAACACTTTCCTCCTTGTTGGCTATGCTTCAGCCACTTTGGACTTTGTATTTGTATTAGGAAAGTACGAAGAAGGTCATTTCCTCTTTATGGCCTTTGCATTTTGTCCTCCTCCTGGGATATTCTTTCCCATTCTTTGTGCATTTAATTCTCTCATCATATCAATTACAGTTTCATAAAAAGGCCCTTCCTGAATACCTAATCTTAAAGTCTCATTCCACCATTCTCTAGCTCAATTACTTGCTTGTTTTATTCATAAGACTGATTAATTCTTAGTTATTTTGTTTATTTAAGTTAAAGGAAGAATTTTCACTCAACTTTGACACTAAATTTTTTTTGACACTGACATTTTAAAATACAGTACTGAATCTTAAACAATCGGAACGAAACTGTTCCAAAACCAAAAATATATGAAAGAGTATTGAACTAGACTGAGATGTTGTTAAGTACCTTGCCACACCCACCACCACCTCTCACCTATAACAGAGAAAAGGGTTGACTAAAGGACCATCAGTAGACATCTGGGGGTAAAAAACAAAACCATTAATAAAAACATTTGTCCCACTGAGTTAAGACTTTTCAGTAAATTGGTTACCTCTATGAGGACTCATCTAGTATCCTTTAAGAACCAGAATATAAGCACCACAGAGGTACATTGGGAAGATCATAAACATAAAAATGGCAAAACGGACCATGAAGGGGAAACCACAGTGATCCCTGAAATAATGGATAGAAACAAATCTGATTGGAAAGGCAAGAGCAGCCTCTGGATAACATTTAAAGATCCAGAATTCCATGTAAATATTTGTTTTCTGAATAATTGGCTTGTACCTAAAGATACAGAACCTTATCCAGAATGTAAAAGTAACAAGATAATATCAAATGTTGGGTGGAATCCTTCTTTCCCAGAATTTATCTCAAAGATCCATTTGATATCCTAAATTTAGAAAACTTCCAGAGTTTGGTGCTAAGATCACCAGTTCAGCTATCCAATGCAACTAGTTCCTGATCATCCCACCCCGACTGCATCAATAGACACAGAGGCTTTTGAAGGAGGAATAGATTACCTTTTGATAAAGAAGACAGGCTTTTCTTTCCCAGTTGACAGGCTGAACTTCTCCTACACCACTGGAGCAGGATAAAAAACCCAGTCTGACTTTGCCATCCCCTTGTAGTACTTCCTGGGATCACCTCTTAAAGAAACTACTTACATCCAAGTGCTTGTCTTTGGGCCTGCTTTTGGGAGAACCCAAACCAAGTGTCTGAAAAGACCATTATGAGCTCCATACAATACTTTGTCTTATAGAAAGTTTAACTATATGATTTCCATCTCAGAAGATTGTGTAGGCTCTGGACTTTGAAAGAAAGCTTATTTTTTTAAAAAAATCTTCCTGAACCACAGACACACTCTACCTCTTCTATCTTCTCTCTGTTTAGAATTTATATCATCCCCAGTGATTTTGCTAAAAATGGGCTCATCTGATTTAATTCTTTCTGCTCTGTTCACACAGTTGCCAACTCAATCCTACTGGTTAGATATTAAGAGTTTGCCATGCTCTCTTTACCCTCAGCCTATCCCATCCATGACTGTACTTTCACTATGTCTGTCTGAAAGCCAATGGTTTGGAAGGATGGTAATTTGCAAAAAACAAAACAAAACAAAACAAAACTGAGTTTAAGGATTTTAAGATTTTATAAATGGTTAACAAAATGTAATAAGAGTATTTGAGAAAGCCTTTAAAAAAAACCCTAAGAAACCCAGTAGCTACAATTTTCACCCAAAAGAACTATATTTTATAACTAATATGCAACTAACTCAAAAATATTTCTACTTCACTATTTAAATGACTCCTTCCTATTCTTTGTAAAATTAAATACTTAATGTTTGGCTTTGACCAATGAAACAATCATTGGAATTGAATACGTTAACCACATAATTATTTTATATATTCCCACAAGAGAGTTCATTAATTCAACAAACTTTGAAGAATAACTATTATATTTTACCATAATAATAATTAAAATTTAGTGAGCATTTTTTGTGTAGTGACCACTGTGCTAAAGCATTATATATATATATATATATATATATTTTACCCTCTCAATGACCTCATGAGGTATTATAATCCTCATTTTACTTTCCCAAAGTTGACACTATAACTTACCAAAAGTCACAAGAATAGTAAATTAACTGAAAAAGGAGTTTAGTTTAGATCTGTTTGACTAGAAAACACTAGCTCTTAACCACTACTAAATTATTGTTTGTTCTAGAAGTTAGATGCTATGGGAGTCATAAGTCAAGTCTAAGATTATTAAACATCACTCCTTGCCTTCAAGGAGCTATAACTTAAGTGTGAAGATACATGCATACCAGAGTGCTTAGTCAAGTGCAAGACAATGAAGAACAACCTGTATATGTTAAATGTTAAGGGAATATAGAAGAAGAAAAGTGTTTTGTAGTATGTTCGGTAGGTAATTCAGGTTTCCCATAGAAAGGGAAAATCTGCCATAATGACAATTTAAACATTCACAAAGAAAGGCCAGTGCAATTAATCACCTAGCAGCAATCCACCTGAAATATTATTGTTGATAAAGGAATGTCTCAGAACTGTGATCACTAGATTCCTGACATAGGGTTCCACACATCTATTTAAATGCTAAAAGTGACAGAAGCAGCTCAGGTTATCTCCTGGAAATATTACACTGAAATTTTCATTTATTACATTATAACATTTTCCCCTGGGTGATTTTAAAACCAACTTACTGTTGTGTAAAGAATGTGTGCTGGAGCATGAATAATACTTTATAAGATGTCAATTATGCTGTCATTCAGCTATTTCAAAATTACTTTTTTCCCCCCAAAAACGAGTCTTTCCCCTACCATGGCTATAAATATGCATACAATTATTTCTACTCCTGAAGTTCATATTTTCCTGAGGGCTTTATGTTTACTTATTCCCTAAGGTCAGCATGTAAAAATCTCACAAGGCCACATGAGGAATTCTAAAGACTGAAGATGCTGGCACAATGGTTAATGAAGCGATTAGTATTCCTATCCTTGGAGTACGAAATCCTGATATGAGTAGGGCCATCTTGACAAGAGTTTCAAAAATGTAATTGAACTAAATCTTTTGACAGATAATTATAATGACAATGTTAGGCTCTCATGGTTTTTAAATATAGCTTATAAATTACTTTCTCCACTTTACTTTTTCCTCCCTTAAAGTACCAAGTATGACAGGTGTCCTGGTTCATGTTAACTTTTTAAAGTATCTGTATGGCATCTGCATAACTCTATAAACCAAAACAAGCTTAACTTATAAATATAGTTTGATACAATTGAAAGACCCAATTAGATATGTCATCTAGATTGCAGAGAATACACAATTATATTATTTCTTAATACATTCTTTCCATCAGAGACAATTTTGTTATTTACAATGTTTTTCAATTATCTGTACCAGATATATATATATATATATATATATATATATATATATATATAATCTCTCAATAATTTGGAAATTACAAAGACACACCCACACATATACCACAGATGTATTAGTAATAAAGATAATTAACTTTCAGAGGCAATTCCGCTGCCAATACACATTTATCTCCATCTCTCATATCTTTTAATTCTGTAGTTATCTATAATGAAGTGTGCTGTTCATATAGAGATGGCTCTAAAGTCCTAATAGATCTTCAATCAGAAAACAAATAATCAATGATGTTAATGAAATTCTACTTAATAAATAGAAAAAGTTGATTCTCACTTTGACTCAAATTTGGAAAAGACTTTAATAGTTATATAGTCCAACAATCAACCTATCATGAAATACTTCTTAATCTGAAGAAAATGGCAGCGGAGTGAATGGAAACTACACAGATTGTCTCCCAAGATCAAACTGGAAGTACAACTAAAATAATAACAAATCATCAGAGAAAAAACACTGAAAAGAAGCTGGAGAGAAACTTTATAACCAGGGACAGAAAGAGGACATCAAATCAAGCCTGGTAAAAAATGCATAGTGGTGAGTGGGTGGGCTGGGAGCTCATGGAAAGCAGCTGAGGGTTGTTTTAGCTGTGAGCAGTTCCCTTTGAGAAGTCAGGGATTAAAATACCAAGACGGGCTCCACAGAACAAAGGAGCAGCTCCCCAGCACAGAGGGGTGGCTTCCTAGCACAGAATAGTAGTTCCTCAGCAGAGTGGTGGGACAGAGAAAGGCACCCACATAACACCTGGCTGGTATCACCAGAGCTAAGGCTTTGTCCAGAAAGTAGAAGCAAAGGAAAACAGACACTTCCGTGAAGGTCCAGAAAAGTATACCAGCTACAGACACTAACTTTGGGCTCCTGCAGAGAGAGGTTGGACTAGACTGGAACTGCATAAAGAGAGTCAAGGGTTCTTGGCACGGGAGAGAAAGCAGGCAAGAAGGACACTAAGAGTTTTATACTGAATCACTCCCTCATAGGACAGTCGCCATCTTACTCAAAGAGCCCCTTCCCAGAGCCCCATGGAGAAGCAAAGGCCCATCCCTCAGGAATTTATACCACCAGGCCAGGCCAGAGAAAAGCAAATTCAGGCTCATTAATAACTAGAGACTACCATCACCAAGAAGTGGGAAAAAAATCCACGGCACAACCCACTGGAAATCCTCTTATATCTGAGAAG